TGTTTAATATGAGACAGAGACAGCTATCTAATGTAAGACCGGGAGACGGCTGTTTAATATGAGACAGAGACAGATATCTAATGTGAGACCGGGAGATGGCTGTTTAATATGAGACAGAGACAGCTATCTAATGTGAGACCGGGAGACGGCTGTTTAATGTGAGACAGAGACAGAGATAGCTATCTAATGTGAGACTGGGAGACGGCTGTTTAATATGAGACAGAGACAGCTATCTAATGTGAGACCGGGAGACGGCTGTTTAATATGAGACAGAGACAGCTATCTAATGTGAGACTGGGAGACGGCTGTTTAATATGAGACAGAGACAGATATCTAATGTGAGACCGGGAGACGGCTGTTTAATATGAGACAGAGACAGCTATCTAATGTGAGACCGGGAGACGGCTGTTTAATGTGAGACAGAGACAGCTATCTAATGTGAGACCGGGAGACGGCTGTTTAATATGAGACAGAGACAGCTATCTAATGTGAGACTGGGAGACGGCTGTTTAATATGAGACAGAGACAGCTATCTAATGTGAGACTGGGAGACGGCTGTTTAATATGAGACAGGAAAGTGTTCCCTCGCGCGCCGGCCACCCAGACAGCCAGCCTGCCCGCCTGCCGAGGTCAGCAGGGCCAGCCTCCTGGGCCCCTGAGGTGGCCGCCTCCTGGGCCCCCCAGTAGAAGAGGCTGGCCCTGTGGGTACATACCGGGTCGCAGGGGCGGCCGTGGCCCCCTTGGTGGGCAGGGCCCGGTCGCAGCCGCGACCCCTGCAACCCTGGTATGTACGCCACTGGTCAAACCTTCATTCCATTGTAATAACAATGAGTTATTGTGTAAACACAAACAATGAAAGGACACACAGTGTTAACTGGCAATGTCTGTTTCTACATGTATTTCTGTAAACGTAATAATGATCACACAAGTTTAATGAGTTTCTTATGTCTGTTAATGTTGACCTTCTCTGCTCTGTGATAATTGTGATAAAATCCAATTAACTAATTAAGAATGATTGATTGATCACTCATGAGCAAATTAATCTATCATAGATAGTTAAGATGGCACTTGGCTTAAACTGTGTCGCACTAAGAAATTCAACATTGCCTGGAATATTCCATAGCATGTCTGGCCAATATCCAAAAAGGCCTACGTGCTGAACAGAGGGAATTGGTGACAACAAATGTATGGAGAGATAAGAGTAGGGACATAGAGAGAATAAGATACCGCACGTATCTGGCATGAGCCTTGGGTGGTCACGACTGGCCTGATCAACCATACTGATGACCTAATGCGCATGACAAGATACATGCTGGGCTGCACTGATAAGAAATCTTGGAAAAGTTACAAACTTGCTAAAAGGTATAAAAGACGGAGAAACTTGGCACTCACTGGGAGAACTACCCACCTGTAATGCGGACGCGTGTGTTCCCAGAGAGGGTCCCTCCAAGCTGACTGCCAGAGTTCCCCCAGTCACGTGCAGTGAGGACACAACCAAGCCCCTCTAATGGTGATGTATACTTAAGCTGATATATCTAGATACTAAGCTGTTTTGAAGTGAATGCATGCAACTACTTAATGAGAGTTAAGCTTACTCTGCATTGGGTCCCCTTGTGGACAATAAAGTTTTTTTTTTCCCCTGAAATTGCCACAGGAACTTTGCACAATGTTTAAAAGGAATAAGAAACAGAGTGATGATGCCATCATTCCCGGATGGGAAGATGAGCCATATGCAGTGATTGCCAGGGAATGGGCCCGTTCTGCTGGCAAATGCAATGATGAATGTGATAAAAGTGAAGTTCTTAGGAATTCAGTGGAACAAAGGACACAGGGAGATCCTTCCTAAAGCTAAGCAGAAAGTGCTAGAGTTTCAGACTCCTAAAAATAAGAAGCAAGCTCAAAGCTTTATAGGTCTCTTTGGGTTTTGGAGACAGCACATACCACATCTAAGTCAGATACTCGCCCCTTTGTACAAAGTAACTAGGAAAAAACGTAATTTTGAGTGGGGAGAAGAGCAACAGACTGCATTTGAGGGAGCTAAACAGGCTATCCAACAAGCCCTTGATCTATGGCCCATACAAGATGGAGACATAGACTTAAACGGATCAGTGAATCAGCAATGGGCTAACTGGAGCCTTTGGCAGAAACAAGGAAGGACTAAGGTTCCCCTTGGTTTCTGGACCAGGAAGTTAAAAGAGGCAGGAGAAAGGTACACACCCTTTGAGCGACAGCTTTTAGCCTGTTATTGGGCCTTGGTGGATACTGAACAAATGACAGTAGGACATACAGTGTTCTTACGCCCAGAGATACCTATCATGCAATGGGTACTTAGCTCCCCCAAGACACATAGGATAGGTCATGCACAAGAGTCCAGTATCATAAAATGGAAATGGTACATACAGGACAGAGCTAAGACTGGAAATAGTGGTACGGCTGTACTACATGAGAAAATTGCAGATGCACCAGTACAAGAACCTAGCTATCTGCCAGAAACAGGCCAGCCAGGGGAATCTCCAGTAAAGTGGGGAAAGTCTTTTGCGCAACTGACACAAGATCAAGCAAAGCATGCTTGGTTTACTGATGGTTCAGCAAAATACATTGGTAATGAGAGACAGTGGAAAGCAGTGTCTTACATTCCTGAAACCAAGAAAATACTGACTACCACAGGAACAGGGAAGAGTAGTCAGTATGCAGAGTTATATGCAGTGTTTCAGGCTCTGAAACAAGAAATGCCTGGAAGCTGTCATATATACACAGATTCTTGGTCTGTTGCCAATGGATTGGCTGCATGGTTGCCTACGTGGCAATCCCATCAGTTCATGATTCATACAAAAGAAGTCTGGGGAAAAGATTTGTGGGAGCAGATATGGGAGATGGTACAGCAAAATGAGGTAACAGTCTTTCATGTTGATGCTCACTGTAATGCTGACTCATTGGACCGTCTGTTTAACTCTGTTGCAGACGAGAAAGCCAAGATCTCAGAAGCGTCTATTGAAAATTCTCACTCACTTTTGGGATTGGCTGCTTGGGCCCATCAGAAATGTGGACACTTGGGAGAGAAAGCCACTCACAGGTGGGCACAACAACGAGGCATTTTAGTGCCACTTGATCTAATTAAGACAGTAATCTTGCAATGTCCAGTGTGTCAGCATGAACAGAATAGGCATGTGCCAGGGATGGTACAAGGTCAAATAAAAAGAGGAAAAGCCCCAGGGCAAATATGGCAGGTGGATTACATAGGTCCACTTCCTATGAGTAAAAATTGTCAATATGTATGCACGGCTGTGGATACATATTCAGGGTATTTATTGGTCCACCCTTGCAAGAGGGCTACCCAAATAAATACTATTAAAATGCTGGAAACCATAATACAATACTATGGTCTTCCATTACAAATTCAGAGTGACAATGGAAGCCACTTTAAAGGAAAACTGGTACAAGACTTTTGTGATGAAAACAATATTGAATGGATATTTCATATACCCTACTATCCTCAAGCAGCTGGTCTGATTGAAAGAATGAATGGGTTATTGAAACAACAATTGAGAAAACTTGGTGAAGGGACCATGCACAAATGGAGAGATAACTTGCCTACAGCTGTAAACATATTGAACAATAGGCCACTCTCAGACCATGACACTCCCCTCACTAGAATGATTGCACCCAATATACAAGCTAAACCTTATGTAACAAGCAACACCATCACATATTGGGAAATAGAAGAGGGAGCTCTGGCACCATACAGGGCTACCCCAGAGGCCGCAGGGATAGACTTGCGAGCCAGAAAAGAAGAAAGACTTCAAATAGGGCAAGTTCAGATGTTCCCCACAGGTATAGGAATACAAATACCCCCGGGACACTTTGGACTAATTGCACCTAGGTCTAGCCTCGCCCTTAAAGGGATACACGTAATGGGAGGGGTTATAGACGCAGATTATCAAAGAGAAATAAAGGTCCTTCTGTTAAATCAGGGACCACAAGACTTGCTAGTGCAAGAAGGGGACAGAATAGCCCAATTGGTTTTCATCCCCATTTACCAGGGACAGGTACATAAAGGAACGGCCCCCACCTTACAAACAGTAAGAGGAGATAAGGGATTTGGCTCTACTAACCTAAATCCAGGGGCCAAAGTCTGGGTGAGGACTGAGAAAGGTCCCCCAGAACCAGCAGACATTATTGCAACAGGCAATGACAACACTGTGATACTCTCCAGGTCAGGACAAGATAAATGGGAATACGTGCCTTCGGCCAAATGTTATTTGAGAGAGTAAGATGAGTTGTATCTTTACAGGCAAAGCTCATTGGTCCGGCTGTTATTGTGATGACTGCGCTTACTCTACACCCTTTGGTCGGTTCAGATACCAGCAACGAGATTGGAGGTTGGGACCAGAGTGATTCCGCAGAAATGAAGTGGAAAGAGATCGAGATACGAGTAACCTGCCTGACTAATGACTGTCCAAACATAAGGGCAAGCCTGTATGGAGAAGGCTATTTTAGCCACAATGACACTGAGGCGATGAACTATATTAAGCTGCCGCATGAATCATTTGATATGTTGACGCTAGAATCTGCAACACCTTTTGGCTGCCGCATACTATTTACACATATTGACTCTAATATTACTTTAGAAGAGCTTACCCAATATTGGGTAGGTTACGCAAATCAGCAAAGCACAAAGCGAACATACACTATTGTAGAGAATAGTGGTGCAACCTACTGCTGCACTAACAGCACCCCTGATACCTTATGGTATTTACTTTTTAAAAATTCAAAGGACATCCATGACGACTTGTTCTGACACCCCTAAATCAGACAGACACCTCTCGCCTTGGGAAGAACACAATCACTTTATTAAGGCAGCAGCTAATGTATATAAGAGCTTAGATTTATGTAAGCCATGTTGGGTGTGTGGCCATACGCCACATGCTCATGACAGAGGGTACCCCTATTTCCCTAAAGTATTGACGAAAAAAGACTTGTTGTACATCATCAGACATAATGTTGGTTTTTACTTTCTAATAAGCAATGACACAAGTGAGGTCCCCAAGATCTTCTTAAGTGAAGATACTAGGGACAGACCAGGTGCAGTTAAGCTGCGCATGGGGGAATGGGAATACCCTGACGACTTAGAAGAAGTAGTGACTATTAATGTTTACCAAAAATACTACACTGACCCTAGCTACCAACCGAACGTCCAATCTAGCAGTTATGTAAATACCATGGCATTATCCCCTTTTTACACAGCATGGAGTTTTGACTATTTTAATGGGACAGAAAATGGTGAGAAAAGAACCGAGGGCAGATGGAAGTATGTCCTAGGAGAAGGCGAGGCAGAGACTATAAGTCGATGGTGGCATAAAATAGTAGGTACAGGAGTGTTTAGTACTTATTTTAAATTTAAACGTTCTAATGTAAGCTGTATAAATCACCCCATTCCTTCAAGAGGATTTTATTGGCTTTGTGGGAGATGGGCTGATAAAAAACTCCCATGTAAAATGAAAATTGATTGTACCTTGGGAATGGTGATGCCCGCCATTTACCCTACTAAAACTTTACCTGAAAACACCCATCAGCATTGGCAAAAGCGAGACACCGATTTATCAGGATTTAAAATGAACAGAAACATGCAGTTTTGGGTCTCTCTCTTTCCAATGGTGGGGGTGGGAATGATGATAACTAATTTAAATCTTTTAATTGATACTATTGACGATGCCTTTAATAGCACAGGATTTGCTATCAGTTTGCTTAATTATGAGCAAGAACAGATCAGACAGGTAGCTTTGCAGAACAGAATAGCCTTAGATTACTTGCTTGCAGCAGAAGGAGGAGTATGCAAAAGAATAGGAGGCAAGGCATGTTGTGTGTGGATAGAAGATAAATCAGGGAAAGTTAAGCATGAGCTTCAGCATTTAGAAGAAATACAAAAACGCTTTAGGAAACCACTAACCACAGACGACTTGGAACACTGGCTAGCTAATACTACACGAGACTTTGACTGGACATTTGGTATAGGATCATGGATAGGAGGACTTGGGATGAAAATATTAAAGGGAATTGTGTGGTGTGTTTTTATTATACTTTGTATTTACCTATGCTACAAACTTACCATTTGCTGCATTCAAAGAGTGGCTACATGTAAAACAAATGCCAGCATAGATTTAGAAGAGTGACAAATGTTTTTATAGATAGACTAGATGCCCTTAAGATTAGAGATAAGCGGGAAGAGGCATGTCCTACGGGTGACCCTCGACTCGAAGAGCTTTATTGCATGAATTGGTTCCAGGTGTGAATGGGACAATATGGGGATCAGCGGGAAAATGGGCTTGCCCCCTACTGATAACCTGAATGGCATGCGTAAATGTGTAAGGTTTTGCTCACTTAGTGATCAAGGGATGGAATGTGATAATTGTGATAAAATCCAATTAACTAATTAAGAATGATTGATCACTAATGAGCAAATTAATCTATCATAGATAGTTAAGATGGCACTTGGCTTAAACTGTGTCGCACTAAGAAATTCAACATTGCCTGGAATATTCCATAGCATGTCTGGCCAATATCCAAAAAGGCCTACGTGCTGAACAGAGGGAATTGGTGCCAACAAATGTATGGAGAGATAAGAGTAGGGACATAGAGAGAATAAGATACCGCACGTATCTGGCATTAACCTTGGGTGGTCACGACTGGCCTGATCAACCATACTGATGACCTAATGCGCATGACAAGATACATGCTGGGCTGCACTGATAAGAAATCTTGGAAAAGTTACAAACTTGCTAAAAGGTATAAAAGACGGAGAAACTTGGCACTCACTGGGAGAACTACCCACCTGTAATGCGGACGCGTGTTGCTGGTCTCTGCTGTTCCCAGAGAGGGTCCCTCCAATCTGACTGCCAGAGTTCCCCCAGTCACGTGCAGTGAGGACACAACCAAGCCCCTCTAATGGTGATGTATACTTAAGCTGATATATCTAGATACTAAGCTGTTTTGAAGTGAATGCATGCAACTACTTAATGAGAGTTAAGCTTACTCTGCATTGGGTCCCCTTGTGGACAATAAAGTGTGGTGTGAATTCTTATCTGCAACTTGGTCTCTGTGTGGTTTCTTTTTCCTATAGCCCAAGACACTCATCTCGAACTGGGTTGTGTGCCCGCCAATATCGTTATAAACCTTATTAGGTAATTGATTATTGCTTTTTGGATATTGGTGCTTCATGAATTTAATGATTAGGCACAACATGCTCTTAGTGTAGTCAGTCCCCTGAACCCAACTAAAGGATTAGACAAAATAGATGGATGGCTAAATGGATGGAGGGTGGATGGATGGATGGTGGATGGGTGCATGGATGGTGGGTGGATGGATGGATGGATAGGTAAATGGATGAATGGATGGATGGTGGGTGGGTGGATAGGTAAATGGATGGTGGATGGGTTAGTGGATGGATGGAGGATGGGTATATGGATGGATGGAGGATGGATGGATGGTTGGTTGGTTGATGAGTGGGTGGGTGGGTGGATGGATGGTGGATGGATGGATATATGAATGGGTGGAGGGACAGATGGAAGGATAAATGGATGGGTGGATGGTGGGTGAATGCATGGTGGATGGATGGTTGATGGGTGGGTGGATGGATGTTGGTGGATGGATGATGGGTGGATGGATGGACAGTGGATGGGTGGGTGGGTATATAGACGGATGGTGGATGGCTGAATATTATATTGAACTGCCAAATGATATATTTTATGCAGACCTATGCCCACCCCACCACCCCGACACAGGCAGTTGGTGGAGGCTATTAATTAAATAACCAGGGTGACTAAATGTTTTATTTTTTTAATGTGGGAGCTAGCTAGTAAATGCTGGTCAGCTGCCACATGACTAATTAATGCCTTAATTTTACAGTATGATGGCCCGTACAGCAACGGAAAGGTTTTACCCCATTCAGTAGCTAACCATTTGGCCGTTAGCAAATATCCCTGTTAATATATCAACTCCCAGTTATTTTGCCAGGTAATTTAGCGGTGTTCGGTTGAAAAAGTGTCCGTTTTGAGTTCCATGAAATAATAGAACACCGCTGGGCTTTCGCATAGTTAAAATGGCCGCCGCCTCGTGGTCGACATACGAACGATGACCACCCTGTATTCGGTTTTAATTGAGAAGTGTCTGTGGTTAACCGCAACGTTCTAATTGGGATCAATAGGTTAACCAGCAGCACACTTCTCTTCTGGGTGGCCGTCCGTTCAGTAGTTCCGTTCGACAAAAAAAAAAATACATTCAAGGCATACGAATGGGGGAAATTCATGCAAACGGCAAAACAGACGAACACAGCAATTTTAGTCCATACGGATGGGTCTGTCACAGGATGCGTCTCTTTTCAGGGTATGAATGCTCCCCCTGGCCGCCGTTTCTTCTATATGAATGGTGGCCACCCAGGGATGCACTCATTAATTACTTCTCTTGCGGTTTCACACCTATGTTGCAAGTGCGAACGTTCTGATGAATTAATATGAACGTTCTAATGGGGCACCGGGGGGTCCTCGTTCGGGAGACGAACAAGGCGGGAAACAATCCACAAATGCTCCACCTGGTGGCATCCGCCTGTATGAATGGCGACCACCCAGGGAAGCACTCAATTATTGTTTCCCTTGAGGTTTGTGATTTTGACATTTATGTTGCGAGGTGTGAACATTCTAACCTAACATTCTAAATGAGAGATTGGGGTGGTCCCCACTCGGGAGGTGAATGAATTCCATTCGTGGCAGCACTCCCGAACGGGGAGCGGACACAATAAACGAACATACAGGGGAAACACATGTTAAAGAGAGGAAAACCCACAAACAGGCAGCGGTTCCGCCAGACATAATTGTAACGGCACCCTAAGCATAAAAGGGTTAAACCGCCGTTTAGAAGATTTTCCCCTTCCTCAGATACAGGCAAAGCTACTGCAGAACACCAAACTCCCAAACCGCATGAAAGGGAATGCTCCAAACTCCCGAACTGCATGCAAAATAGCACTCCAAACAGTCATGAATAGCTGCTAGCAGACGAACAGGAAAAGCACCCAAGCAGCTTACACTCCTGGCAATCAGTCTCTAACAGCAGAAAGTAAATCTCCACAAAGACAAGACAGAGCTCCGTGTTGTGGGTCAAGCGGTGGTCTGTTTTAATGAGGGCTACCTGCCCAGTATTTATGCAGGTCTCCCACCTGGTGGACACTCCCCTAGGGGACCAAATGGGAGACTGTGACACAGGACAGACATGAACCAATGACAGACACACAGAGGTAAAACATCCCCACAATGCATCCTAACTTCCCTCCCTCTGTCGTGGAGAAAATTGGGAAGTAATCCAATTATCTCCCAGGACAGAAGCAAAACTCCATTACCCACATGGCTACAACAAAACACTAAAATACAACAAAATACACAATATTAATTTGTCACACAATATATATACATGTAACCCATCCCCAGATAGCTGGGATCTGAGTGCACAAAAGTACAGAATAGCGCTCAGATCCTATGCACACAGTCCAATTGCCGTGGAGTTAGAGTGTTCACAAAGTCTGTTCTCCATACGAATAGACTCCACGAGATGGCTATCTGGGGTAATGCTGTTCATACGGTTTAAACTACCGAATGAACAGGCATCTGGTTAAATGACTGAATGCAGAAGCAAGGAGGCTGACGGCTCAGCGGTGTTCGCGCAAATAAGTGTCCGGACGGACAGCAGACTGCAATATCCAGCAATAATATCTAATGGAGAACTTAGAATAAGAGAACTGCAAAATAGAAACAAAAATGAATAAACAATAAAATGTCAATTATTTTTGAGAAAAGTAATCTAAAAATCTCTGTAGGTTTGGAAATAAAAAGAGAAAACAAATACAAAACGAGAGGGGAAGTTATTTTGCACAATGGAAAATTAGAGCAAATTAATGTCAATGCCTAATGTGATTTTAATTTCTTTGTGCCTCCACCATCTGATTTTATCCCTAGTTCACGATTACAGTGAGTTTATATAGAGTGTCATGGGTGAGCTCCATTCCTCTCATTAAATACAGAACTGTAATATCTCCTGGGCAGGATTCATTCTCCCCGTAAAATATGGTCAATCAATGTGGTATTTTAATAATATGCGTAATTAATGTGATATGTGTGGTGGATGCATGTAATGGTTATCCAATGGAGTTGACATGGTTGACTATAGCATGATAAGGGTTCGTTTGATTGTCTCTACCAAGATAAGGTGAATTGTATCTGCGAAGAAATGGATTAAATCTTATTAGTGTCTGGAAAATACAGTTGTAATCAAAATTATTCAGTATCCATGGAAAATCAAAAGATAGAACGAATATCTTATCAACATGATAGCCACTTAAAATTTGATGAGAAATGGTCACCTTGGCTAGATAATCTGATATAACAATATACCTTGTTGCGTTCTCTGTTATGAATATCCATATATATATATATATATATATATATATATATATATAATTACTCAAGTTCCCTATGGTACTGTACTCGGGAAAGTTATGAACTAACTTAATTATTATAGTTTAGGCCCGCCTAATCCGCTCAGTCCTTTTAAAATGTGATATTTGTGCTTCTGTGTGTGAAGTTTACTCAACAGTCCATATATCTTTCTATTGTAAATCCAGTCTATATGTTTAACTTTGAACTGTTCCTGTCTGTATGTTACATATGTAAAATTTGCAAAAAGAATAATAAAAAAAAAAAAGAACGAAAGTTGACAGATAGCACACAGTGTGTATTGCTAGTTCACTGAAGGTTTTTTTACTTCAAGTTCGGGAAGTAATTTAGATGTTATTTTATTATTTGGGACAGTATGTATGAAACATATCTCGGGTTTTGTCTCCAATTTAATGTCTGGATTCACTAAGTTCATGCGGAATGGTTACAAAAGGATCAGAAGCCTCTGTACATAAGCATTTTATAAGCAAATCCAGAGACTGGTCCATAAGTAAAAAAATATATATTTTTTTTACAAATGTGCAGATCATTTACAAATGTTTCATCCATAACAGAGAAAATTAAGTAAAACTCATCTAAGAGGCTTTCAAACCAACATTAACAAGTTCAAATATAGTGAGCTAAAAACATTGTCATCAATACAATCACTTAAATAATTGAGCTTACAGTATTACTTTTCATACAATGAAAGTTTGTTTAAAATTAATTCACAGAGATAAGATTTTCCTCCTCGTATAAAATATAATATTGAGACCCATAAAATTCCAAGAAATGAAATTTATTCATCAAATGTAGATGCTCAACTGCTTCTAAAGTTTTTTTTTTTGTTTTTTTTTCTGTATCCCTGAGATAATGAATGCAATATATGGGCAGATCAAATCTGTCTTGTTGAACAGGCAATCTTTACATGTCATCAGAAGATTCCACACATGTTTTAGGTTGTCAAACCTTCCCAAGTAATCCATATATTAAATGAGTTCACTCTGTAACTAGGTCACAGATTGGAATTATCAGGATTTTTTGGAGCAAAGTTGAAGGGATTCGTAGAAACAAAAAGAAAGATAACACTTTGCTTTGTAGTAAAATACACATACTGTTTCTTGAAGGACCAGCTTATTAAACAAACATCAA